TTGGTCTTTTTGAGACAGGGTCTCCTTGTAGCCCCAGCTGTCCTGGACCTCACTATGTAGACCAGGCTGGCCTTGAACTCACAGAGATCCACCTGCCTCTGCCTCCTGAGTGCTGGGATTAAAGACATGCACCACCACGCCCGGCCAATGTAATATATATTTAATGTTCTATGTATCACAATTTTTTGCCAGTTCTAATATGTGTGATTTTCATTTTTCTAGGATTTCCAGACTTATAGGATGGCTACACATTAATGGAAAGAGAAACCTATCTTCTTCCATTATGGAGGCAGGTTTAGCAGATGGAGAACCTGACCGGACTTCGGTGAGTAGTTCAAATATATCATAATAAGGAACTGTTATCTAAGCTGTAGAGTATTTGATATAAGTCATGGCTTTATTCTTAAAAATTCATTCAAAGAAAATGTTTTAAGTAGTTAAAAATAATATTTTAGCTCCTATGTTTATGAGGTTGTCTAATGCTTGTTGGAACAGAGTCTTGGCTAATTTTTGGTATTTCTGCTCTATCTCCTCCTCCTGTTTTCTGTTCCTTTCCAGCTATGTTGTATCAGACCTACTGAACTAATAGTTTGCATTTGCTTTCTACAAATCCTTTTGGCTCTTAGTAAAATAAAGAGAATATTAACAGTTGAAGAAATTAAATATCCCTAAATCTCAAATCATGTGTAGCTATTGGCAAGCAGAGTGAATGTAAGCAGTTTAAAGAATTAAGAGCAACTGCTATATTTATTATATGAATATTTGAAGTTTAATAAAAATGCTCACTTTGATTGAATTAAAGTCTAAAATTAAATGAGTAGCAAATAAAGTATATATTATCCAATAATTAAAAAAACACCTCTTGTATAGGTTAAAATATGATCTGTCATTTTTAAAAAAAAAGGTTTTGATCAAGAATACTTTCAGTTCTCTTGTATTTTGACTGATCACATTAAATATTTATTTATAGAACCTTTGTTAGCCATTTTCTCTTACCCAAAGTAAGGGTGTCCTCAGTGAAATGCAGTCAGCTGGAAGTTTTATCATTTATTAGGGGTATGTGTGTGTGTGTGTGTGTATGTGTGTTGGTGGTAGTCGTGGTCATGATGGTGGTGGTGGGCAATGGAACTGACATTCTATCACTGAGTTAAATCACCATTCTTAAAATTTCTTGTTGGAGTAAGATGGGGGCTAGCTTTCCGTCTTTGATTTTTCTATGGAGGTGAGAGTTACTATTATAATTGAGTGGATGCCCTTTGTTCAGACTTCAGCATAAGAACAGTATAATGATTAATAATAATATTGCAGCTTTGCTGACTTGTATTAACTTGGTCTCAATGTTTTTGAATTTCTGGTTTAGATTTGTTTTTGTTCTTTAAATGTTCAAAAAAAGTTAAACTTTAAAGTGACCACTTGTAATAGAGAGTAAAATGGGCATGAAAATAACTTGGCTTATAAAGGTTCTTGACGTGGTGGTCAGCTAGAAATGGAAAACTGATGGTAGGTTATTTTATTTTATTTTTACTGTTATTTTAGAAAAAAAGGTAAGAACAAATCTTGTATTTAGAATGTTGTGTTTACTTGAACATAACATATTTTTAAAAGTTAATATGACGCTTCTGGTAATTGAAATGCTTTTGATACCCTAGTGATAATAAAAATTGTTAACAGTAGGACTGGGATGTAGCCTACCCATAGACTGCTTGACTAATACGTGGGGCTGTAGGTTTGCCCTCAAGCACTGGGGAAAAACAAACCAAAAACTGCCACTAAAGGTAGGTATGTATTTGCCCTTACTTTTATGGACAGGGAATCATTGTTGCCTTTTACAGTAGATGCTTCAGGGAGGGTTATTATCTTCTCACCCTCAAGTGGTAGATCTTGAGATCTGTCTGCCTATTTCTGAATATTCTACCACTAAGATGTTGAATAAGTGCTTGTTTTCTGAAATATATATATATATTTTTGGTCTTTTTGAGACAGAGTCTCCCTGTAGCCCCAGATGTCCTGGAACTCACTATGTAGACCAGGCTGGCTTTGAACTCACAGAGAATCGCCTGCCTCTGCCTCCCTCAAAATTTAAGTATTTAAATATTTAAATCTTAGATTTAAAAATCTTTAAAGTTGATGTCTAACTGTCCTAATTAGCCTTCAATGTCAGCTTGTCATAGACTAGACTAGAATCACCTGAGAAAGAAGTCTCAGTTGAGGAATTGCCTAGATCAAATTGGCCTCTCTGAAGGGCATTGTTTTATTAATTGATGTAGGAGGGCCCAAACCACTGTGGGCAGCACTATTCCCCAGGCAGGTGGTCTTGGGCTGTATAAGAAAGCTATCTAAACACAAGCCTAAGGCAACATTCTGGTCACCATGATTTCTGTTGTATTCCCTTGATTAAGGTCTTAACTTGAGATTCTGCCTTGACTTCCCTCAATAAGGGACTGTGACTTGGACGTAAAAGGCAAATTCTTTCCTCCCTTAAGTTGCTTTTGTCAGAGTATTTTATCATAGGAACAGAAAGGAAAATAGAACACCAACTTAGTAATATTAAATTCCATACCAGAATCCATGGTCCGTATTAATGAACTCTTCAGTAGTGATTTTTTTTTTCCTCCCTAAATTCTGTTGATTGAGAAGTTTAAGTAAAGATGTTTAAAAAGTAGGGTAAATTGCTGGGCATGGTGGCACATGCCTTTAATCCCAGCACTGGGGAAGCAGAGGCAGGTGGATCTCTGTGAGTTCAAGGCCAGCCTTGTCTCCATAGTGAATCCAGGACAGCTGGGGCTACAGGGAGACTCTGTCTCAAAAAGACCAAAAAAAAAAAAGTAGGGTAAACTGTTTTGCTTTTCTTCATTGTTTCTTCTGTGATACATAATAGTTAATTTTAGAATAATGCTGGTAATTTCATTATAAAATACAGAAATATTGTGTAAACTGTGGTACACTTTTGAGTTAATTGTTTATAAAATATCACCTTTGGACTGCATGACTTGAGCTAGTTACTGTTTAGATATGGAAGAGGTGGGTAAGAACATGAGTTCTGAAGACATTTAGGTAGAAATCTTAGCTGAGCCGGGTGTGTTGGTGTAATCCTGTAATCTCAGCGCTCAGGAGGCTGAAGCAAGAGACATCATGAGTTTGAAGGCAGCTTGAACTAGTAAGACCCTGTCTTTATGGGAAAAACAAAAACAAAAAACCTCTGTTACTTAGTTATGTGACCTGGATGATTAATGAAAATTTCCAGGTTTCCATTTCCTTACAATTTATGTAAAGATAATTATAACATCTGTCTTCCAGAATGGTTTTGAATATTATTTGAGAAAGTCTTTAAATTGCCTTTTGTAATGCTGCACACATTATAAATATCCACTAAATAAAAGACACTATTGTTGTTAATATGGCTTACTTTTAAACTTTCTCTTCAAAAAGTTAGACACCTGGAGAAGCCTCGGAAGTACATTTCTGTACACTAGAGTAGTTGGAAGAGCTTTCTTGATATAATTTGTGAATAGCAGAAATAAGTAGGTTCACTGGATTGAAAATGAACAAGAATAGCATTTCAAGATGCATAGCAGGAGGCAAGGATTACTGCAGTATTAGCTGGTTAAAGTTGAAGGTAAAATGAATAGAGAAATGGAATACGGCAGGTTTGAAGGGAGTGCTGTTCATGGGGAAAATGATTGACACAGCAGATAAAGACCAGATTTACAGATTGTTTTTAGTTCCAAACCAAGGATTTTTAAATTTGATTATGTAGATAATGACCTTGAATTTTGCAGGGTGTGGGGTGGGGTAGGCTGAATTTAGAAGCGGGATGTAAAATGATTTAGAAAAGTGAGGAATCTGAAGTGTGGAGAGGTTAATGTTGGGTGGCTTTTGCCATTGCTTGCTACCTTATTTTCTGAGATAGGGTCTCTTATTAAGCCCAAAACTCACCATTTTGGCTAAATTGGCTAATCAGATAGCCCCAGAATCTGCCTGTTTCTCCTTGCCCAGCGCTGGGGTTATAGATCTGTGCTTCTGTGCTTGGCTTTTATGAGTACTGGGATCTGACCTCATGCTTGTATGGTAAGCACTTTATCCATTAAGCCATCTCCCCAGCCCTGTTTTATTTTTTGTAGGCAAGATCTTGCTAGGTAGCCCAGGCTTGCTTAGAACTAATAATCCTCTTTCCTTAGTCTTCCAAGTGCTGGAATTATAGGCATGTTCCACAACACCCACTTTTTGGGGGGGCCAGGAGGAGGAGATAGGTGTCACTTTGTAGTTGAGGTTGGCCTAGAAGGAACTCACAGCAATCCTCCTGCTCAGTATTCTAAGTGGTGAGATTACAGGTATTAAATCACCACACCTGTTCACTAGCTTTTATGAACTTTCAAAGTTTTTCTCCATGTGTTTTAGTTTTTCCTTTTTTAGTTTATTGTACAAACCAGATAGTTGATTCTGTAGAATTTCCTACAATAAGGTTTCTTTCCATGGTTATGGCTTAATATGTTTCTTGAAATTAGAGTTGATAGAAGCTTGCCTAGATTGACACTTCAATTTTTCTGCTAAGCGTACTTTATAGATGGTTTTGTATATTACTGTGAGGAGACCCAGTGTTGATTGTGTCTCTTCTTGTCCTAATAGCAGTCACTGATGATCATTGCCTAGATCTACTAATTCAGTAAAGGTATAAGTCAATACCCCAGCTAGCTTAGGAAAAGGAAGGTTTTGAAAGAATGACTATGACTAGCTTTGAAGGAAGCAGACCAACCAACCATATTTTGCCATATATTTTGTTTTCTAGTTGTCTCTGGCGTTCTATAACTACTGAAACTGTTACTAAAGGGAAATGCTTCTAAAATTGTAGAATAATTTGACAGGCATACTTTTATATTTTATGTATACCTTTTTAAACTTCGGAAAGTTATGGTAGTAGTACTTAATTATCATTGAACTTTCCAAGTTGTAAAATACTGTTTATTTCCTACTGTATAGATATTAAAGTGCCTCCTCCCTCTCCCACTGTGGTGGCGGTGAGGAAGTGTTTCCTATAGGTTTGTGTATTTGAACACCTGGTCAGTTAGTGGCATTGTTTGCAGAGGTTCAGGAGGTTAGGTCTTACTGGAGGAAGCAGGTCACTGGGAGCAGCTTTGAGAGCTCAATTGCCACATCCTGCTTCTAGTTTCTCTACTTCCTGTGCCTGCTTCAAGATGTGAGCCCTTAGTTTTTACTCTGGCTGCTTCCTGCCATGACTCCCCTGCTGTAAAGGACACTTACCATCTGGAACTGTAAGCCCAATAAACTTCCTTCTGTAAGTTGCCTTGGTCATGGTGTTTATTTACA